AAGCATGAAGTGGCCTTTCAATGGGGAAACAAACAGTTTTGTTCTAACGTAGGTGCTGGCTGTTCAGAGGATTGTTGAGAAATGCCCAACCCCTGGTGACATTGAGCCAGTCCAGTGGGAGGGTGGCTGAGGCTCAGCCTGACCCTCTGCTAGGAGAGAGGAAGCCCACCTCTCAGCTACATGGATGCCAGGCAAGCCAGACAGAGCACCCAGGGTTGTGTCTCCACTCCATGGTGAGACTCACCCCCAAGAGGTCCCAGGCACAACCACACAGTCACCAACAGATTCCCGCTGTCAGATGCCACAGTCCGATGCCCACTGTAGGAGGCACCCCTGCCCACACAGGGTCCTGTATTCCCACATAGACAGACCCACGTGCCCTTGGATGAGCCAGGTCTACAGGGCCACATTTGTAGTCTCAGAGCTCGGCATCCACCTGCCCAAACAAGGTGATCTGTATTCACACTGCCACAAACAGTCACACACACACGAGATGCATACCCTGCCCCCTGTCACACACACTGTGCACAGGTGTCCCACCTCCCAAACGCACCCTCGCTACAACCAGACCCACAGGTCAGCCCCTCCCGCTCCACTGATGCACAGACAGACACACACCCCCATGCATGCCCAAAGACCCTTCACCCCTTCTCCTGCAGCTCTGTCTCCCCCTGAGCAGTCCTGTGTTGGGGGTCTCAGATCCCCCCCCAGCGTGGTGCAAGGGGACTCCAGGAACGATCCACCCTAGGGGATAAGAGCTGGTGGGCCTCTGACCCCTAAAGTGTACCCAGGACTGTCCCAGTCCCGAAGAGGCCTCCCTTGGCCTCAACCCCCACACCGTTGCCCATAGCAACCCTCCAGGCCCCAGCTGTGACCCAGGGGGTTATAGAAGGAGCCTTCGAATAGAGTCCTGGTGGGGAAGAGGCAGGTTAGCGATTTAAATATGGTTCTGGAGACTCAGGGTCAAGACTGGGGCATCTTTGGGTACTTAGAGAGAATCAGACTCCAGTGTCAAGAGACCCCAGAGTGACAGCCCTGACTTTGTGAATGATTAGTGGCCGAAAGTGAATGTCAAGGGCATGAGAGAGAAAATAAATGTCACAGTGTTTTGAAAATGCTAAAACAAGGCCTGGAAGAGATTTCTTAAAGAGGGACGGCCCAGAGAGTGTGAGGACTTGGACATTCCTGGGTTGGAATCCAGATGCTGCTGCTGATCAGCTGTGTGGCCTTGGGCAAGTCACTTCCCCGCTCTGAGCCTCTGTTTCCCCATCTGTATAATGGGGAGAATGAGACCTTCCTTGTAGGGATCAGGAGAATAAAGTATATCGAGTGTTTACACAGTGTCAGGCACACAGACAGCATTTGATAATATCAAGAGTGGGAAGATCTCAGACTAGAAGTCCAGTCTCTGCTCCGCCTCTTATAAGTTGGGTGACTTGTGTCAAGTGGCTTCAGCCCTCTGAGGCTTGAGTTTCCTTGTCTGTAAAAATGGGAATCCTTATACCACCAGGCTGATGTGAGGGTTCAATGAGGCTGCACGTGGGAACGGCTCAGCCTAGCTGCCGGCAGGTGGCACGTGACCAATATATGGTAGCTATAATGATAACAGCAGATGCTGTGATATTACTATCGGCATCTAAGCATAATAACAGCATTGCTATTATTGGAAGAAGCACAGACTTGGGAGACAGAAAAACCTGGCTTTGACCTCACTCTGTCATGTGACGGCTTTATGATGCTGGAAGCCACCGGGCCTCTGTGAGCCTCAGTTTTCTCATCTGTGAAGTGGAGGTAGCCGGAGCATCTACGTCATATGGCTGCTGTGAAGACTAAATGGGTCCAAATCTCCCAGCACGGAGCCTGCCATCAGTGGGGGCTCCATAAACGTTTGCGGAGTCTAAAGAGAGAGGGTGACTCCTTATTTTTTAGAGCAAGGCCAGTCTCTCGTTGCCCCGTGACCTGAGTTGTCATCTGGCTGAGTTTTCTGGTTAAGTGACGGTTTGCCCACGGTGCTTCGGGCCTCCTTCCTCGTCGCCGTAGATCTTTAGCTCAGATGTCTGACCCCCCTCCCTGTCCTCATCTTCTATGGCACATTCTCTGAGCATGATGGAATCTTCCTTGGGGTGACTGATGAACTTTCGGCGCTTCCTTCCGAGCATCCCAGGCCACGGGATGGGAGACTGTCTAGTGTTCTCCCATGGGACACTAGTGGCATTGGGGGTGTGACAAGTCCTCATTTGGGGGTGGAGGGCTGTCCTGTACAGAAGAGAACCACTGCATAGTCTAACCCCCTCTCCCCGCCTGGGGAAACTGAGGCCTGGAGGACCACTCAGTGAGTCAGCAGCACCCCAACCACCACCACCGCTGCCGCCGTCTCACCAGCGTGGAGTGAGAGGTGGGGAAGAGGAGGTCGTACCGGATGGTGTGAGCCTGTGGAATGCTCCGGAAATCAGCCGTTAGACCAAATTCCTGATGTCTTCTCAGTTTACTAGATTTACTTCCACAAGAAACAACCTCAGGCTACCTGCTAGGTGATAGAAATAATCACGAGGGTGCCTTTGACAGCTGAAATTTTAGATTATCATTCTTAAACAGCGCCCCCCTCCAATCCTTCTGCCCAGGGAGTAATTCCATGCACATAAATATAAATATATATGTATATGCTAAAAAAGTGGTTTTGCATTCTAGATGGACCCAGATATAGATATAGATGGAGGTGCAAGGTTTTTGCAACTCGCTCCGCTTTTTCCCAAGGGTTAATATTTTGTTTCTGACATAATCCTTGGTAAGTTTTTTGCTAATGGTGGATCCTCAGGTTTGTCACATAACCTCCCCTCTCTGTTACCCCAGACCCGGCAGAATTTTCAAGAAGATAACATGATATGCTTTTTGTAACGTTCTCAGCAGAGGGGATCACACATAGAAGGTCCTCGATAGATGATGCCTATTTTTGTGCTCCTGGCTTTGATCTGTGCTCTATCAACAGCGTCCTTTGTTTTCTGTGAAAGCTGCACTTCTAGAAAGGTATATACAACTCAGATTTGAGAACAGCTGAACCCAATTTTAAATAGGCATCAGGAGCCTTTTGATAAATTTGACAGGAGCCCCTTTTTATTTTTTTTAATTTGTCTATATCACACGCAAAAAATACGTTCACCTTAGAGAAAGTTAGAAAAGAGCTTTACAAAAAGATGGAAATAAAAATTGCCTACCATCCTACTCTATCAGTCAGAGTTCTCCAGAGAAACAGAACCAGTAGGATGTGTGGGTATACATATATATATTAAGAGATTTATTTAAGGAATTGGCTCATGCAGTTGTGGAAGCTGGCGAGTCTGAAAGCTGTAGGGCAGGCCAGCAGGCTGGCAGCAGGGCAGGAGTTAATGCCGCAGTCTTGAGGCAGAATTCCTTCTTCTCTGGGAAACCTCAGCTTTTGCTCTTCAGGCCTTCAACTGATTGGATGAGGCCCACCCACATTATCGAGGGTAATCTCCTGTAAGTCTCCTTAAAGTCAACTGTTTGTAGATATTAATCACATCTACAAAATACCTTCACAGCAACACCTAGACCAATGTTTGACCAAACAACTGAGCACCATAGCCTAGCCAAGTTGACATAAAACTTAACCATGACACCTACTACTCAGAGATATCCATGGTTCTTAACATATTAGTATATGTCCCTCTAGAGAATTATATTGAGAGATAATTTTTGGATAAAATTTGGATAAAATTTGGATAAAACTGATATTTTATAATATGTGGAGTTTATCTTCTCAGTTTTTGCTTAACATCATATCTTGAACACATCTTCATCTCTCTACAGTGACACCGATATTTTTGATGGAGATATAGATTCCCATTGTGTTGTCATTCCGTGCTCTATTTGCCCAATACTTCTTTGATGGACACCTGGGTTGTTTCCAGTCTTTCACGTGTTAATTTAAATAAATGCTGCAATGAACATCCTTATTGATAAATCTTTGTGTACATCTGCAGTGGACGCAATGGGTGTCCACCCAAATCCCCTTTACTGCGGTGACTGTTGGTGGCCAGTGGTCACATTTGCCCCTTTGCGTGAAAAATGACCCTTGGCCCAACAGGAGCAGCTTCTCCCCGGAGGTTATGTCCCACAGAATAACTGACGGACATCGGGGAGGGGGACACACAGGGCCAAGCCCGGCCCCCTTTCCTTAGAGTGACACCAACTCTGTGGTGCAATTTACACTCCCGGCTGAAGGCGGGACCCCGCTGAGTGCACGTGCTTGCTTAGCTCCGCCCCTGCCCTGTCTTGCTTCCCCCCTGCCTGAGAGCACATCCTCAATAAAATGCTGTCTCAGGTTCTGCTTCTAGGAAACCAGCCTAAGACAACATCTCTGAATATATTTTCAAGGGGCGACTTCTATTGAAGGGACAGCGGTGGCCTCCAAATTTTCTATGTGCAACTGGGATATTTCTGGATTAGGTTATCTTAAAGGGAGTCCCTCCAACAGATCAGTCCCTTGTAGCCTTCCGGGGTCTCAGTGCTGGGTGGGCAGAGACTCCTGGGGCCCCGGGTGTTCCCCCTAAAGTCCAGGACAGTGGGAGAGAGAGGGGCACCTTGGTGCTGTGAGGCAGGACATGACAGCCCTGGGCTTTTCTCAATCCTCAAATGCTCAGCCCTCTCCTGATGAGATCATGAGAACCCCCATGGCATCTATCATTTCCCTGAGGCGAGGCTGCCACCATCGAGAAGGAGGAAGCAAGACATAGGAATGCTGACCAAGAAAAGGGAATAATGTGGCCCAGTGAGAACATCTCAGTGACCCGGACTGTTGACAAAGATGCCAGGATTGAGGAGAATGTTCTTGGAATTGTCTAGCTCATTAGTCTCCACTTTGACTCACTGTGTGACCTTGGGCAAGACTCTTGCCCTCTCTGGGCCTCAGCTGACAAGCGCTTCCTTCAGAAGGTGGTCTCGCAGCCTGGATCTGACTGTTCCTTTTCCCTCTGGCTCTCTAGACGGAAGTGCAGTCTTCCGAGGCTGCTTCCGCAGACCCAACAACCTCTCCCTGGCCTTGCCAGTGACGGCCGCCATGCCGAACATGTCCGTGGACAAGTGCGTGGACCTCTGCACAGAGAAGGTGAGCCCAGGGTCCTCCTCGCAGAACTCCGGGAAGGGGTGGGGTGGAACAGCTGGAGGAACAGGATGCTTGGCTGGAGAAGCAATGGCCCAGCCGGGATGAGGAAGGTCATCACTGTGATCTGTGACATGGGAGAGGGATGCGACCATTTCCCGTGGATACCAGGGGTAGGAGTTACACAGGGTCGGTTTCTTCCCTCTGAGGAAGTGTGTTTGTTCTAATAGAGAGGAATGCTCAGGAATGAGGGTAACACTTCAACTGGGCCTAGAAGCGTGAGTAGAAGTTGCGAGGTAGAGGCAAGGACAATCCCACCTGGGGACAGAGTGAGTTCCCCATCACTGGAGGTGTGCAAGCAGAGGCAGGGTGTCAGCTGACAAGTCGGGCATTGAATAGCAGTTGGACTGCATGATCTATGGGTCCTTTCTCAGCCTGAGATCCTTGATGGCTGACTGTTTATCCTTCCTCGCTAGCCAGACGGTGAACTCCCCAAGAGTAGGGGCTGTGTCTTAAACATTTGTGCCCCCCACACCCGGCACAGAGCTGGCGCATCACTGACACTGAGTGATGTCTCAGGAGCTCTGTCCTTCACTCAAGATGAGCTAATTACATGAGGGTCCACAGGAGAACCGCCCCCCGCCCACCACAAGAAGGCAGTTGCCCATTTCATTCATTCATTCAGCTAATATTTAAGGAGAACCTACTTTGTGCCTGGCCTCGTGCTCAGTGCTGGGGATGCAAAATCAACAAGGTATGGTCTCTATCCTCAAGGACGCTGGCATTTGCTGGGGGCCTGCCTGGTGGCTCCTCCTGGGTGCTCAGCCTGCACCCCAAATCCCAGACGCCCCCACCTGCTCTGAGTCGCCTTGCTTGGCCGTTGCTCTCATGGAGGCTTGTAATCCCTGGAGCGTCTCTCAGGAAGACCGAGAGGCTGCAGCGTCACAGAGGCTGCCTACTGAGCACCTTCTCCGTGCAGCCCTCTGCGCCACGGATCACACAGTTTACCTCTCACAGCAAGGCTTGGAGTTGGGAATTCTCACCCCCATTTCACAGATGACAAAACCAAGGCTCAGACAGGAAAGTCACTTGCCCAAGCTCACAGCATAAGCAAGTGGCAGAGCTGGGACTGACTCCACATCTTTGTTCTTAATTTCTGAGCTGCCCTAGAGCCCCCACAGAGAGGCTTCCAAGAACCATTTAAGGGCATCCAGGCGACGTCAAGTCACCAAGCATTTCCTGAGTGCGTGCTCTGCTCCTAAGAGGCGTCCTGGAAGGTTGGGAGAATTCAGGGCTGTGGGTCTGGAATAGAAGAAAATTGGACAAAGAACACTCCGTTGCCCTCCAAATCTCAGGTCTATCCTGCTCCCACTTAGCTGTTCCGCAGAACGAGTAAAGCAATCGCGAGCAGCTCTCCCAACAAAGATTGTGCATACACGTAGGTATCAAAATCCTCTTGGCCTTAAAGGAACGAATTCAGACAGCTCTTCCCAAAGCGTGGGCTTCGTATCACTGTCAGACCAGGGGGGATTTACCGTGGTGCCATGCCTGACTGTGAGAAAGGCATTTCTTTTCCAGTTTTCTTTCAAGTCCTCCAGGAGAAAGCTTCATCTCAGTGCTGAAGTGTCTTCCACACCTCCCTACCCTCAACTCATCTCCCTTTTATAGGAAAAATGGAGCCAACCCCAGGCTCAGAGTCTTGGCAGGCAGATGAGATGCCTAGTTAGAATTTAATGACATAGTTGGTTTCTTCAGTATTTGCCATTACAGTGTGGAAAGTGTGGAAGTGCTGCTTCCTCACCAGTACTACTTTGGGGAGTGATACAAAGTTTCCTTTGAAATTTAAGTCTCAAAAGGCAAGTTGACTTAAAGGAAACGAATAAATAAATAATAGTACAGGAAAACAAAAAAAAAAACAGTAACTATGTGAGGTGATTGATATGTTAATTAGCTTGATTGTGGAGATTCATTCACAAGGTATACATATATCAAAACATCAAGTTGGACACCTTAAATATATTCAATTTTTGTTTGTCAATTATATCTCAATAAAGCTGGAAAAATAGTACAGGGGGTTCACAGATGGGGCTAAATCGTAAAAGTAGGGTTCACTAAGGAAGTGTGGGGACCCTGGCGTTGGGAGGGTGACGGAGAAGAGAATGCATTCAGAGTCTGGGCAGTCCAGGGGGTTAGCGACTGCCTTCCTGTCCCACTCCATCCCCAGGAGTACCCGCTGGCAGCCCTTGCGGGCACTGCCTGCCACTGTGGGTTCCCCACCACGCGATTTCCCCTCCACGAGAGAGAAGACGAACAGCTCTGTGCCCAGAAGTGCAGCGCAGAGGAGTTTGAGAGCTGCGGGACCCCCAGTTACTTCATTGTGTACCAGACACAGGTCCAAGGTAAGCCAGCCTCTCCTGCGACCCCCAGATGGTCTCCCAATGGCTCCCCTCCCAGAGGTGCCCCGGTCAGTCCATTCCATACTCTGCAGGGCAGAGGGCAGAGGGCAGAGGGCAGAGGGCAGGGCTGGTGAACTTGGCCAGGCTTAGAGATCCTGGATAGGCAACAGAGGGAGGGCGCCAGGCAAGGGGGGTGTTCTAAAGACCCTCATCTCTATCCCTCATCCTGAGGTCCCCCTTGGTGGCTCTTTCCCTATAATGGAGACAGAGACTGAGTGGGAAGATGTCTGGCTGGGAGTGGGAGATCTGGGTCTCCAATATAGATGCCCTGCGTGATCCTGGGCAAGTCACTTCCCCTTTCTGGGCCTCAATTTCTCCCTCTGTAAAATGCGGCTATAGATTGTTGATCCCCAAGGGCCCTTCCAATTCTAGGGTTCTGTAAATTTGTCTCTAAATTCTTCTTCTCTTTCTCCGGGTCACTCCTCCTATCCACTTCTATCCTTCCTCTTCTAATGGAACCCACAGTTACTGTTTATCTCCTCTTCCCTCTCTTGGGGCCACCAGACTGTGATGATGGTGATGATGATGATGGTGATGATGATGATGGTGATAATGATGATGATGATGATGATGATGGTGATGATGATGATGGTGGTGATGATGATGGTGATGATGATGATGGTGGTGATGATGATGGTGGTGATGATGATGGTGATGATGATGATGGTGGTGATGATGATGGTGGTGATGATGATGGTGATGATGATGGTGATGATGATGATGGTGATGATGATGATGATGGTGATGGTGATGATGGTGATGGTGATGGTGATGATGGTGATGGTGATGATGATGATGATGGTGATGATGATGATGGTGATGATGGTGATGATGATGATGGTGATGATGATGATGATGGTGATGATGATGATGGTGATGATGGTGATGGTGATGATGGTGATGGTGATGATGGGGTGATGATGACGGTGATGATGATGATGGTGATGATGGGGTGATGATGATGATGGTAGTGGTGCTAGAGTTGGTGGTGGCACTCAGGGTTTCTCAAGGACATTCTTTGGGCTGGACTGAGAGTTGAGTCCTTCATTTGCATTTTCTCCCTGAATCCCCTCAGCTCTCCTCTGAGATGGGAACCATCATTGTGCCTACTTTACAGGAAGGGAAATCGAGACTTAAAACAGTTGAGGGACTTGCCTGAGGTCATGCCCTTTATAAAATCTCTGGATGAAAACCTTTTCTCCTGACTGAGGCATCATAAAAGGTGGGTGGCATTTGGAGAGGTGTCTTGTTGGGACACTCAGCCCAAAAGAAACCCCTGAAAGATTCCCAATATCTGAGTATACTGACCACCTACTATGCACCAGTCCTATGCCAAGCCTCGTCTCACATAGTGATACAAAGCCCACAGTAAGCCTATGGTCAGGGCAATATCATCCCCATTTTACAGACAGGAGAAGCAAAACTTATAGGGATTCAGAAGTGGCCACAATTGCACATCTACGAGAGTGATTTGCTTTCAGGTCTCTGACTCCAAAGCCCCTGGTAGAAACCTCTGCCCACAGTGCAAAGAACCCTCCCCACTCCCTCTGAAGCCTGGAGAGCCAACAAAACACCACTGGGCTAGACCTCCTCTTCATCTCCCAAGAACTAGGCCGCCATGTATGGTTGGGCAGGTTGGGCACTGCACAGGCAAATCCTACGGGAAAAGTGGTACCTGAAAGCCAGCCCACGCTCTGCCTGTCATTCTGTGCACCTGGATGGCAGCACATCTGCCCAGAGGAAGGGGAGGGTGACTTTTTCTGATTTGCACTAAGGTTCTGTGAGAGCTAGGGGCAGCCCCACCAATGCGCCTCCCCTGTTTGGCCTGATGGGGGTACCAGTGGTGGCTGAAGTCCTGCTAAGAATGCAGTGAGCAGGAACGTGTTTAGCGAGTGTGGCCCTTGGCTTTGTTTATCCTCCAATGAGGAAGGATGAGCATTTGGTAGTTTCTAGGAAGGGTGAGTTGGTCTGGGCAGATCTGTGTTGCCCCAGCTTGGGGGAGGGTCACACTCAGATTAATTATCCCATGACCGTGAACAGCTTTGATGTGGGCAGAACAGACACTGGAGCCTTTGCAAGAGCAGACAAAGAGCCCTAATGGACGAGTTTGCTCATTCCCAGTGTCCTGCCCCCAGGCCGTGACTGGTCTTCAATTTTTCCATGTCATGCTTGCAATCCCTACGCACTGGGGAGGCTTAAGAGTCATGCGGTTCATCAGGCTGCCAAGAGCCTGGTCCACCATGGCTGTCATTTATTAAGCACCTGTTATATGCCAAGCCCCGATGTTCCTGCTGGGAACTAAATAAGTATTGAGCACCTACTGTGTGCCAGGTACTATCTAAGCCCTTTGGACTGAATTAACTCATCTAATCCTCACAACAGTCCAATGACATAGGTGCAGCTATTATTACCATTTTACAAATGAGGCAACTGGGCACAGAGAGGTTGAGTAGCTTGGCCAGAGTCACACAGCTAGGACGGGGCAGAGCTGGGATTCGAACCCAGGCAATCTGGGTCCTGAGCCTGCACTCTTAACCACAGCTTCTCAACATACATTGCAAATACTTCACACGCATTATCCATTTAATCTTTTAAGGTTTATTAGCCCCATTTTACAAGTGAGTAAACTGAGGCTCAGAGAGGTGAAGAGTCTTGTTCAATGTCACACAGCTAGGCCATGACAACCCCAGATTGGAACCCAGGTCTGTGTGACTCCGAAGCTATATCCAATACTGCCTTCCACATCTGCTCTGATTTATGGAGCTTAAGAACCAAATACACTTTCTTTTTGGTGCTAAAAACAACATCCTTTACTGCAGAGTTGGTCTTAGCCTGCCAGGATGTATTTGAATGGAGAATTCTGTTTTCTGGGGAAATTGAGAGGCCGGGTTCTTTCTCCCTCCCAACATTTTATTACGAAAAAATGTCAAACCTCCAGAAAAAAATGGAAAGAATTACACAGTGAACACTCATATACTCATCCCACAGATTTTCCATTTGTCAACATTTTGTTATATTTACTGTATCATACATCTTTCCACTTCTCCATCCCTCCATCCTTATTTTTTGATGCATTTCGAAGTAAGTTGCCAACATCATTACACTTCAGTGTGCCTATCACAAATGATAATTCGATATTTGCTTATGATTTTTTGTAGTCACATTTACATAGAGCGAAATGCACAAATTTTAAGTGTACTATTCCATGGCGCCTGGCTAATTCACACCCTTATCAAAATATAAAACATAACCATACTCCTAATCATCTAGGCTCTCTTTTGCAGTGTGCTCCGTGAAAACCACTCCCAGTCACCTACGTAGGCTTCAGCAAAGGCAAAGACGTGGTTTATTTTTTTCCAAAGTCTGCTCTCCCCTGAACAATGGATTAAATGCGGCGTGGTGGGAGTAGAGAGCTGGGCCTCTGGCTGCAGCAACGATACTAGAGCTACAGACGATTGGCACTCAGTGTGTGGGCCCTGTGCTAACACCCAACCTGCATTCTCGACTTAACCCTCCTAACAGCCCTGGGACGTGATCACTGTCAATAGTCCCATGTTACAGGTGAGGAAACTGAGGCTCAGAACCCATTATTTTTCTGAGGTCACCCAGCACGTAGGTGGCCGAATTGGAATTTAAAATTAGGACTTAAAACATTGCCCTTTTAAAAGGCTGCTGTGAGGGCCGGCCCCGTGGCTTAGCGGTTAAGTGCGCACGCTCCGCTGCTGGCGGCCCGGGTTCGGATCCCGGGCGCGCACTGATGCACCGCTTCTCCGGCCATGCTGAGGCCGCGTCCCACATACAGCAACTAGAAGGATGTGCAACTCTGACATACAACTATCTACTGGGGCTTTGGGGGAAAAAAGGAGGAGGATTGGCAACAGATGTTAGCTCAGAGCCGGTCTTCCTCAGCAAAAAGAGGAGGATTAGCACGGATGTTAGCTCAGGGCTGATCTTCCTCACTAAAAAAAAAAAGGGGGGGGGCTGCTGTGAGAAATCAATGCAGCTCATGGTGTATTTCAATAATGGCAGGTAATGCAGAACAGGAAAGGCCCGTGTAAAATCTTGAAAGGAATTGTTAGAAGGGTTGAGTGATGGGTGCTATCAGATGGTGCTGAGTAGTCAAGTGAGGTGAGGCTGGGCTGAACACTGGGTGGTCGCTGGAGACTTGAGCAGGAGCTGGCTCTGGGCAGGGACCAGGGAGAAGCCCAGAGAGGCAAGAGCTGGGGGCAGATAGAAGGAGGAGATGGAATGGGGTGTGGACGCCTCGGCCAGAAGTAGGGCTGAGTGGGGTGAGCAGAGAGAGGGGCTGCTGGAGGAGGGTTTTTTAACTGATGGAGCTATTTGTTCACGTTTGAATGCTAATGTGGTGGAGCCAGCTGAGAAAGATGCAGGGGAATTGATGGAGCGAGGAGCTTGGGGAGGAGGAAGGAGATGGGAAGAAGACACAAGAGCAGGAGGCGGCCCTTTCTTCCAGGAAGTGGGAGGGGAGGAGGAGGGGGTGGGAGGCAGGAAAGCCTTGTGAGCCTAAGGGGCAGGGGAGCCAGCAGAGGAGGATGTTTGCCGCCGGTCCCTTCACGGTAACTAAGGGCTGAGGTCATGGGCTCAGAGTGGAGATGCAGGGCAGGGACTGAAAAGCCAGGATTCTCTCTTCCTTTTCCACTGCAGAGCCCCCTGTGCTGGGCCTTCCCTCAGCTTCCCTTCTATCTGCAGGGACCGGACCGAAAGAAATCACCCACCGTGCCTTCTTGCCTCCAGGAGGGACTGCAGTGGGAGGGGCTGAGGCACATACTTCCTGTTAGCTCTGTAAAGAATCAGGAGTATTGGAATGGTACTCACCTGCCCCAATCCATTTTACAGAGGGGGAAGTGGAGGGCTAGAGGAAAATAGTAACCACCCTTTTGAGCTCTTTAGTGTATTAACATACTACATGCATTATTTCCTTTAATCCTTATAAGAGCCCTACAATGTAGATATTACTGTTCTCCACCCATCCATCCAACCACCATTGCATCCATCCTTCCACTCATCCATCCTTCCATCCACCCATCTTCCACCCACCCACTCATTTGTCCACCCACCTACCCATCCATCCATCTAACCACCCATCCAACCACCCATCTACCCATCCATCCATCTAACCACCCATCCAACCACCCACCTACCCATCCATCCATCTATCCGAGAAACATATATTATAGTACATATTATGCATAGTAATGATAGCCCAGGCAGTGCGGGAAGGGAGGGAGGGAGCACCAATTCTAGAAGCAGTCCACCTGGCAAAGGCAGGTAGGAGGCAGTGAGGCCGAGGGCAGAGCATGCCTGAAGGAGCAGAGCACACGTGAGCAAGGGAAGCGACACCAGGTGGCTAACAGGTGCAGGGGTGAGGGAGCGAGCCGGTGGGGGAGATGAGCCTGGGAGGAGGCAAGGGTTGGGCCACGCAGGGCTTGGATGCCAGGATAAGAATCTTGGACTGGATCCCATGTAGATGGATGCCACTTGAGGGTTTTAATCTGGAGAAAAGTTGGGGGGGGGCAGGTATTAGAGAGTGACCACTGTGTTGGGGGGACACTGAGGCAGGAGAGAAGACTCACCCTCCTAGCAAATTTTGTTGACTCCCTACAGTGTGCTCATCCCTTTTCTTACATGATCTCATTCAACCCTCACATCAACCCTGTGAGGGAGGAACCATTTCTCCCATTTTACAGATGGGGAAACTGAGGCCCAGAAGGTGTCCCAGCATGTGCACTGAGGCACACGGCTGGGAAGTGGCAGGGGTGGGACTCACACCCTGGTCCCTTCTGGACAGGCTACGTCTGGCCCTGCCACTGACCCCTGTCGGTGCCCTGCCCTTTGCAGACAACCGCTGCATGGACAGAAGGTTTCTTCCAGCCAAGTCCAAGCAGCTCATCGCTCTGGCCAGCTTCCCGGGTGCCGGCAACACGTGGGCTCGCCACCTCATCGAGCTGGCCACCGGCTTCTACACTGGCAGCTACTACTTCGACGGTTCTCTCTACAACAAAGGTGAGGCGGCAGAGGGGGCGGGAGGGCTGCCTGGGCTCAGAAGGACCCACTGGGAGGGCATGGGAATACCCCTTCCTGAGCACCTACTGTGTGCTGCTCAGCTTGCTCTGGCATGTTCACTGAGACCTACTATGTGCCTGGTACCTTCCCTTCGCTTATATCCCACAAACCTTTCTAGAGTATAATGTCCTGGGTACCTCACCAACATCCGTTCAATAAGAGACCTACTATGTGCCTGGTACCTCCCCTCCATTTAGAGCACCACAAACCTTCCTTGAGGTACTACTGTGTGCTGGGTACCTCAGCACAGACGTTTACTGACCAGAAACTCTGTACCTAGAGATACAAATAACTACGTTCACTTTGGGGACGTTTCTGGAGGACCTACTGTGTATCAGATGTCTTATCGACACTGAAGTCAATGATATTTCTTGTGCGGGTTTCCTGAGCACTGCTGTGTTCTGGATGCACTTCCTAAGTTTAGTTTCCCAACAGCCATGTATGGAGCGCCGACTGTGTACCAGGCACTTCGTGTAGGTTATTAACACAGACGTTCTCTTGGCCTCTACCAGGGGGCGAGAGCTGTGCCAAGTCTACGGTTTTCTTTAACCCTTCACAGTAACCCTGGGGGTAGGGTGAGGGTACCATTTCCCAGATATGAAAACTGAGTCTTGGAGAGGAGAAATAGCTTGACTAAAGGCACACAGGTTTTTTTCAATGGGCTGACCGGGGATTACACCCTAGTGTTTCCCAGTTTCAAAGCCCACACACTTATGACTCCAGCACACCGGCAAAGAATCCCTGTAGTTTCTTACTGGGGAACTGGAAATCGTGGCTGAAATGTCCCTTGGGCATGGAGCCCTCTCCCAGGTGTGGTGGGGGGTATCAGGGAGGCAGGGGCTCTGCCTGTGAGGGAGTTTGAGTCTCTCTGTGGAGCAGCCCTTGGCTGTGGGTCTTTGTGTCTGCAAACCAGATGAGGACCACTTCTTGGCTGTGTGACTTTGAGCAAGTTACTGTACCTCTCTGATGCTGTGTCATCGTGCACAAATTAGAGATAACAGTATGTAGCTGGTGACGTTGTTGTGAAGGTCCATGAGTTGATACATGTAACGTGCTTAGCACAAAGTAAGTGTTTAATGAATGTAGGCTGTGGATACTGCGGTCTGGGCGCCAGGCACGGGCCAGGCGCAGCTCGGCGTTGGCAGAGAGCCGTCCCTGAACCCAGCTCAGGGAGAGCCAGGAGGCATGTGTGTCTGGGCGAGAAGCAGGAGAGACGCAGAGAGTGAGGGAGAAAAGGCAAGAAAGGTGAAAAGGGGCAGGTGGAAGGATGGAGTTGGCAAGGGGCAGGGGGTAGGGGGTCTGCCTTAGAATCCTGACTTGTTGTATATTTATTAATTTTTAGTTTGGGCTTAGCAACCGTTTGTTGAACACCTTTTATGTGCGAGCTCCGAGCTGTGGGTTTGCATGTTCGTACCAGGATTTGGACCCAGGCCTGGCTGTCGGCAGGATCTATGCTCTTAACCGCTAAGCTGCACTGCCTTTATGGGAGTGGCTGGGAGGAGCCCAGGCACATTCTGGAATCTCCTTGGCTTGTCCTGGGGCAGTGGTTGAGGAAAGCAGGCTCGGAGAGCATCCCGGGGCTGGCCCGCGTTCTAACCTTCCCGGCTGTGGCATCGACCCTACTCACGGAATCCTAGAATGTCCCAAACAGAAGGGTCCTTCAGGAGCATTTAGTTCAGGGATCCAAAGTGGTTTCATCTCCCGTGTCAGTTCCAATGGATCCCTGCTTTCCGATGATGTGTTAAGAAGGATTCTGAGGTTCTGTTCTCCCTCAGTAACAAAGTGCCTTAATCCAATAGTGACACCTGTTGAGGGTGTAGAAGGGAGAGTGGCGGTCTGCATGCCAGGTACATACCATCTCTGATCTAACTCAACCTCCTAACTTCAGAGAAAGGGAAACTGAATCTCACAATGGAATCAGGAGAATGAGTTTTCAGTCTGAACTCTTATGAGCTGTGGGATCTTGGGCAAGATTCTTCACCTCTCTGAGCCTCAGCTTTCCTAGTCAATAATATGGAGACATCAATGCCAAACTCAGAGATTTGGAAAAAATATAATAAGAAAATGTGTGTGAGGCTGTGGTCTAAAATATACAATATTTTTTCAATGACATGTAACCAGGATGGTCAACTATTCAGTCCAAGTCCAAGAGGGCTGGTCTCTGACTGCACGTTAGAATCACCCAGGGAGCTTTCAAAGCCTTCACGCCCAGGCTGCTCCCTGGACCTTTCCCGTCAGAATTTGGGGGTGGGCCTGGCACTGGTATTTTTTAAAAGCTCCCCGGGTGATTTCAACGCAAAGTCAGAGTGAGCCCCCCGGCCCTAGACTGGGAACCCAGTATTCTCACTTCCAGACCCAAGACATTCAAAACATTGGTCTTTGCCCTGTGTTTTTAATGCTCAAGTGTTGGGGAGTGTCAGGAGTTTTTCATTAACGGGGTGAAGTGTCAACTAAAGTTTTAGAAAGAAAGAAGGAAGGAAGAGACAGGGGCGGGGGGTGTGGGGTGCGTGGAGAGGGAGAAAGGAAGAAACCGTGAACCTTCCCCGGCAGTTCCTCCAACTCCCAGTGTGTCAATGTCCCCAGGTCCCGCTGGGACAGGCAGGGTTCTGTGGGCCGCTCACGGGCAGCTGAAGCTTTGAGTGCACCCGCCTTTACACTAGGGGCTTAAAAATACTTCCTGTCGCCTGAGGCCTTGCCCTTAAAAATGAGCTCTCCGTGGGAGTCCAGGGCTGGCAGTGGGGTGCAGGCAAAGAGAGGACCCCCCGACAGCATTGGTCAATCTGGCTAACCCCCAAGTTCCCCCTGCCCATCACTTACTGAAATCCTTAAACCCTGGTGGGTTCTGGAGTGAGGGGGGCGGGAATGTGCCAGAGGGAGGGAGAAAAGCTGTGCCCCGATTGGGCCCCACTGGGTGGCTGTGCTGCCCTCAGGGGCATTTAACTGTGGCCCCCTGCCCATTGCCCCCGGGATGAGGTGCACAGTTCTCAGAAGGGCATCCCAGTGGCCTTGACGTGTCCAGTCCTGGCTGTCCCTGCTGCCTCACACCCCCCGCACTCACCCCTTTCACCATCCAACACCATCAAACTCTTTGTATTCACCCATCACGCTGTGTCGCTCTTCCCCCTCCTCCTCCTCCTCCTCACATCTCTGCCCACACCACCTCTGCCTGGGACACCCTCCTCCCTTTGGGGTAAGTCCTATCCACCCCAAGACTGAGTTACAAAAAAATATGGAGCACCCATCACAGCGCTGGGCCCATCATGGACAGTCAATAAATGCCCACAATTATTTGTGTTAGTAACAGTGACATGAATATATTAATAATAGCAAAGGCCACGATGGAGTGCCCTGGGTACTAGGAGGATGGAGGAGGACACTTAAGAACGTCAGAGACACCACAAACGGGGATGTGACCCGAGGCTGGAGGAGCGGGTCTCCAGGCAGACAAGCCGGGATCAGGGTGGAGGCGTGGGTGACATCCCAGAGAAAGGAAACAGCACGTGCAAATGTCCGGTGTGGTTTCTAACTACGAGGAGCTCATTGTTCCTGGAGTCTGACGGATGAAAGGGGCAGCAGCATGGCCGCCCACTGGAGGCCAACCGGGGCACAGCTTTTCTCCCTCCCTCTGGCACCATGTCTGCCTCCCATCCCCGAATGCTCCAGGGGAGCGTAGAGGGATTTTAGGCAGACAGTGGTGTGCTGAGATTTGCATGTGTAAAATACTGCTCTGGCCACCAAGGTTGGGTGGGGAAACATTTCAGCTGTAGGACCGTCCAGGTGAGTGACAGTGGTGGGCAGAAGGATGCGGGGAGGGACATTTAGGAGGTCATTGATTGGGGGGGGTGCCTCGGTGATGGGCCGGGAGGGGGTGGTTTCTCTGTGATGAGCTGGTCCTCCAGTGACACGTGCTGATTTATTTAACCCATTAGAGTTTCCTCATCTCTGCTACTAACCAGCTGGATAACTGGGGCACATCCCCCTCCTCTTGCGGGCTCCATTTCCTCCTCTGTGACAGGTGTCGGGTGGGCGATCCCCCAGGGCCCTCCTGGATCTAGAGAGCTGCCTGACATTTTCTCGCCTTCTCCACTTTCTCTGCAACCTTCTCTTCCCTCTTCCTGGCCACAGCCCGAGGGGCTGTTGAGTGAAGGAGGGGAGGAAATGAATGAATGAATAAATGAATGAATGAATGAATGGACCCTCCCTCCCAGAATCCAAGTGTCTGTCTCACTTGAGTTCTGCCTTCTCTTCCCCTTACTCAGGGTGGTTGGCCATTGGCAAAGCATGGTTTTCTCTGTGTCTGGGTCCATCTGCCTGTCTCTCACTTTCTTGATCTTTTTTTCTCTCTCTGTTTTTGCATCTCTCTGTCACGTATGTATCTCTGTTTCCTTCTGTCTTTTTTGTGTGTGTCTCAGTTTGTTGTCTCTCTTTGTCTCCTTATTTCATTTCTCTGTTTCTCTCTCCCCCTCTTCTCCCTCTCTCCATCTCGTGGACCCACAGCCCTGGGTGCAGACTCAAGCTCTGCGGCTGTCAGGACCTCTGAGGGAGGGGAAACAGAGGAGGGAGGGGCTGGGACGACAGCCCAGAGCTGAGCAGAGCCCTTCTCAACTTCTGGGGGCCCACAGAGGGGGCAGGAGACTGACGAGGCAGCCTCTCAGCCCACCTGACACAGGACGAGCATTTCTGAGGATTGCCTCGAAACAAACCCATGGTTTCTGGAGGACCACCAGCCTCCAGCGTGTCCCTGTCTGGAGCCAGGAGGGGGCCTTTCCTGCCCCAGTAAGCTCTGGGGCAGGCAGAGATGTGGAGTTTCTGCCACTGCCCTTCTCTGTGCTTGTTTCCCTACGTGCAAAATGCATAGGCAGCTGCAACACTGGGAGGTGGGGGAAGAGAAGGAGAAACGTATCTTGTTCTCTCTGTGGCCTGAATGCACAAGGTCATTTTTCCAAATCCTAGGACAATTGTCCAGCCCTTCAGAGCTTGAGGGTCACATGGGTGCCCCACATAAGCTATTTTTGTGACCCTTCAACCTAATATGATTTAAATATTCCACATTTATGTAAGGAGGTGCTGGGTCCTGTGCCAGGGAAGGGTGGAGAAGAGCCCCCCCTGGTGGTGGAGTTCAGCAATTCCGCTCTGGCCCCAAGCTGGCATCCCTGATTCCTCCGCAATTACCTGGAGGCACTCCTTAGGGGACAGTAGAGCAACCATCTGTTGTTCCTCAGCCAAGCTCATCCCAGGTGGCCTCTCAAAGGCTTCTTTCCAGACATAGAACTCTTCTCTTCCCAGGAGACATTCTGCTAAATGGAATTTTCCCCACTTCCCTGCATTTCCAGTGCTCCCTGCAGACTAACTCTCGAGGCAACGGAAATCTGGAATCTGGAGCAGATCTTTCCCAATGTTCATAGTTTTTCTTTGTTTATTTTATCTTGATAAATACTGTGCTAAGTTGACCCCATCATGGAACAAAGGGAAGGGTGATTTAGGTCTCACAATGCATGGAGCTGATTTAAACCAGTTGGACCATTCTGCCATGTGTCTGACTATTTATTTTTTTTCTCTGAGAATCTGTGTGGGTTCTTGTGTACCCCCTGCCTATGTCTTCCCATGGCTGTGCTCACAGTGAAATGGATTTTGATGACGAGAAAATGAAATCCTAGATGGGAAGTCCTCTGTCCATGTCATAAAGAGCTCCACCAATGGAATGCATGACAGCACGATGTGAAATTGTACCCAGTGCTGCCTGTGGGTGAACATTTGTCTCAAGCTCTCTCTCAAGTTCCCACAGCCCATTCCTCATGGCCCTCAGGAAGCAATTTTCCGCATGATACTGGGCTCCCCATGGGCTTCGAAGACTACGGGTTAATATTTTCTCATGGGCATGGGCCAGTACTAATTTGCAAGGCTAAGCTAATCCTTGCAACTTGACGTGGCAAGTCCCGAGATGGAATTTGACTCAGGAAATCATGTTCCCTTCCTGGCTCTTCTGCCCTGTGGCCCTGGGAGCGGGGCTGCACCTTTCTGCACCAGAATAAGAGTAGGTACTGCACAGCCTCACCTTAATCCACCTTAAAAGCCAGAGCACAAAGCCCTAGAAACCACCGTGAGTGGGCAGGGAAGGAAGACACTGCTCCAAGGTTTGGTGACACAGGGTGGCTTCCCCACCCAGGATCTCACCCTGAGACTTGTTCTGCACTAGCTGCCGTTTGTTGAAGTCTTACTGTGTGCCTTGTAGATTCCTCACAATAGCCCTGTGAAAGAGAAGCTGCATGGTTCCATTTTACAGATGAGGAAACTGAGGCCCAAAGAGACAGCATGACGTCCAGGATCACCCATTGAGTTGGTGGGTGATATCAGCCCGTATCTTGAAGGTCCAATACAATAACATTTCAGGTTGGCTTTCAAGATCCCATCCCAATGCCTTAGCTCTCGGAGAGGGGGAGGCCTAGACGGTGAAGAGCACAGTCTCAGGGGCCTCGATGGCTTGGGTTTGAATCTTGGCTCTGCCTCTCGCTAGCTCTGTAACTCAGGTGAGTTATTTGATCTTTCTGTACCTCAGTTTCCTCATCTATAAAATGAAACCCTCATAAGATTATTGAAAGGATCAAGCTGCCCAATGTACACGAAGGGCTCAGGCCAGCATCCAGCAGAAAGTCAGTGCTGTGGAAGCATTCCCTCATTCTCCAGCTACCCAGACCTTCTTTCGGTTCCTCGGCTTTTGATCAAGTCCCTCCTTCCTTTTGCTTAAATCCTTTTAAGGGCTGTGCAGGCTTTCTGGTCTAGTACTGAACTCTCATCACAACCCCCACAACCCTCTCCAGCCTCACACTCTCCCCTGCTCTCTGCTCTCCCTTGGCAGTCAGTCATTGTGACCTGTTTCTTCCCACCCACCACAGGACCTTTGCACCTGCTGTTCCCACCACCTTTTCCTCCTCTCTTAGGCTAGTAGATTCCTCCTCATCCTTCAGTTCTCAGCTTAGGCATCTCTTCCTCCAGGAAACTTTTCAGGATGCTGCCTGACTAGGTCATGACCTTGGCTAGGTTGGCTGGGCTGCTCAGCTCCAGACTGCAGGTTGGACCCACGTCTGTTCCATGTGTCTCTCCCCAGCTGGGACCAATAGCCCTCCAGGGCGTGCTTTCCTCACAGTGATGGTAGAAGCACATGAGTGAATAGAAACATGTGACGTGTCTTGAGACTTTGGCAGAGACCCACTTCTGCTCTCTTTCCCATGGTCGAACCAAGTCATATGGCCATGCCCAACATCAGGGGGGTGGGGTGTGGACTCCACCCAGAAGGGACTCCTCCAACCCGTCACTGTCAGGCCCTCTCATGGCACCTCAGCACGAATACTCCTCTCCCGCAGGACTAACCAAGGCAATGATTCTACATTCATTGGTGTCACTATGTGAATAATCTGCTCTCAAAAACAGTAAGACCCATGGATGTTTTTGCAAATCATTTTACACCCCCCCCCCCCCCGGCTCCCAGCATAGCGCCTGGCACATAGTAGGTGCTCCATAAAGACGTGCGTAAATGAACAAGTGAATGAAAGAACGCATGAGGGTTCCCGAGGTGGCCCAGAGTGGGTGGGGTGGACTCCTCGCCTCCCCCAGCTCACCCGCCATGTCCCTGCCCCGGGCTGTGGGAAGGGTTCAAAGGCGAGCGGGACCACTGGCGCAGCGGGAGGACCATCTGCATCAAGACGCACGAGAGCGGCCAGAAGGAGATCGAGGCCTTCGACGCCGCCATCCTGCTCATCCGTAACCCCTACAAGGCCCTCATGGCGGAGTTCAACCGCAAGTATGGCGGCCACATCGGCTTCGCCGCCCACGCGCACTGGAAGGGCAAAGGTATTGCGGGGCAGGGGAGGGAGAGGCGGGCCGGGGGCGCGGGGCATCCAGGAGGGCGTCCTTGAGCGCACGTGTGTGATGCCCCAGCTCCTGCTTACGGCTGAGGAGGTGCAGGTCCCACATCCCGCTGCACCCCGAGCATCGCCCTGTGCGAGCCAGGCTGCTGTCATGGCACCGTGGGTAAGGGCAGGCGCTCTGGAGCAAGACTCCTGGGGCTCAAACCCCAGCTCCACCGCTTCCTGGAAAAGCTCCCTCACCTCCCTGAGCTCAGATTGCTCCATCTATAAAACGGGGATCATAGTTGTGGGGGGTTAAGAGGTTCACCCTTTAGAAACACTCAGCAGATATGACCCATTATGGGAGACCCTCATGTAACTGATATGGGATCAATTGAAGCAGGTTCAAGAGCCCTTTCCTGGGAGTCTGACTCCAGCCCAAGGCCAGTGGCTGAGCGGCCATGAGGTCACCTATGAGGTCTTAAGAGCTTGCTTACAGAGAGCATCATTTCAATAAACCCTCCCAACAGCTCTGGTTTGGGAGGCTCAGAGAGGTTAAGTGACTTGCCCCAGGTCACACAGCTGGGAAGTGACAGTGCTGGTCCCCAAGCACTGAACTTCATTAAGATGACCTGGGTTTGAGATTCGACTCTGACACTTATTAGTAGGGGACAGCTGTGTGGATGAATGTCTCAGCACAGAGTGGCGGCCCAGGGTAGTGGTGAGAGCTTTGAAGTCAGACTCAGCTTCTGCCATCTTGAGTATCTTTAACCCCGTGGGTCTCAAAATCCCATATCCAGTATCACCTGTATCTCCCCCACTGTAATGAGAGTTACATCGATGAGTGTTTTTAACCCGCCACAATTAACCCGGTTTATAGGTGGAACAAGCTAAGCTCAGGGAGGTGAAGGAGTTTTTCCAGGAAGTGGTGAAGCTGGGGTTTGAACCCAGGGAGTCTTGCTCCTGAGCCCAGGCCCTTAACCACTGTCCTATGATAATGGATTAGACAGTGTTGACGGATACAAATCACCCAGCCCAGAGCCCCTGATGCCCAGTAGGTGCTCTGTAAATGTGAGCTCCCCCACCTCATCCAGCCTCCAGGAACCAGGCTGCCCCAGCCGCAAGCCCGGGGGTTGCTTCCCACTCCTCCAGACCCTGCCCCTGGCTCCCAGCTGCCCCAAAGCTCCGCCCCCCGCCCCCCAACCAGACGACCAGAGCCTGGCAGGATGATGCTAACTCAGCAATGCACCAGTCATGCCCCCAACACTGATGTCATTGATAAAGCCCTTGGGCCTGCCTGAACGACTGTGACCCGGGCTCCCAGTTCACTCAAACGGGCCCCTCTGTGCCTCCTCCTGCCTCGCTCCCCATCACAGGGAGGGGCGGAAGCTTGGACAGGTGGTGACATTTGTTCCCTTGTTCCCAGGAGTAGAGGGCTCTGAATGATTTATCTGTAGAGCACTCGAAAGTGAACACTGGTCGGGACCAGGCTGAGAAGTCTGCAGGGACAGATGGCAGGAAATGACCCAGGAGATCACTGAACCTAGTGGTCCTCAGCCCTGGCTGTGCATCAGAAACCCCAGAGGAGTATGGGAAAATCCCAGTGCCCAGGCCACACCCCAGACCATTACTGGAGAGGAGCCTGGGCATCAGTGTGTTTTAAAGCCCCCAGCTGCTTCCAGTGCGCAGGCAGGACTGAGAACCACTGATTCGTTCTGTTTATTAGTGGGGAAACTGAGGCCCAGAGAGAGGCAGGGACCTGCCAAGTGGCAGGACTAGAACCCACTCTCTAACTCCCAGGCATCCTGCTGCCCCTAGTGAAAAGGGAGGGAACTCACTCGGGAAGCTCCTGTGGGACCAGGCACTTAGCATCCATTATCCCATTTAAACCTTCTAATTACTGGAGGAGGTTAGAAAGGCTGCCATAATCATCAGGAGCATTCCATTTTGTGAGAAAACCACCCCGGGAAGGGAGCACGTCAGGTGGCTAAGGCCCCAGGTGTCAACTGAGCTCGGATTCAAACCCAGGCATTAGCTACCAGGCTCTCTCTTCCCTCGAGGTGTCACTGACCTTCTGGTGCATTCGCAGGTTCTCCTTTCCTGGCTTGGCCCCTCCTCTCAGGTTCAGACAATTCTCCTATTTCCCAGGAGCCCCTCGCCTCTTTTGCCTCATTCAAGACAGCTGGGAGCTTTAAAACCAAAGATAAGGGAGGCATCAGAACAGGCTGAGCCAAGAGGCTGCAGGGGGTGGGAGAGAGGGGGTTCCAGCAGACGCATCTCGTATTGGGGGTCTAGGGTCCCCGTATTAGTGCCTTCTCCCGGCGCCTGACCCAGGTCTCCATGAGCTCTGGCTGAGAGCCTTCCCGAAGAACCAATCTCCACAGCCCCCGCCAAGCCCATTCCTCTCATTTGCATTAACATCTGGCCCCTGTAGGCACTTGAGTTTGAGATCCTTGCTTTGGGGCCCCTGGACCAGCAGCATCAGCATCACTTGGGAACTGGTTAGAAATGCAAACTCTCAGGCCCCGCCGCAGACCTGCTTCGTCAGAACCCGGGAGGCGGCCCAGCCACCGCGTTCTGGCAATCCTCCAGGTGTTTGCTATGCGCACTCCAGTTTAAAACCCACTGCTTTAAACCCTTGCTGCTCAAGTGTGGCCTGAGGATAGGCAGCGTCGGCGTCCCCTGGGGGAGTTTTAGGAAAGCAGACCTCGGGACCCCCAGGCTCACTGGATCAGAATCTACATCGTAACAAGATTCCCCCAGAAGCCTCGTGAGCACTTTAAAATTTGAGAATCGCTGCTTCAGGACGCCTTGGCCTGGAATGTGAGGGTCACCCCCCCGAGAGCAGAGGTCACCCCGCTGTAGGGCATGTCCACCCCACCCTGCCCACGTCCCCCTACCGGTTCTAGCTGGGTCGTGCATCCTGCAAAATGTCCCCCTCCTGCAGCTTTCGGTTCCATAATGTTAATTTTACAATCTCCCCGGAGTGAGTCCCAAGCAGAGTTTTACGTGATATGATCGCACAGGTGAATTGTCCTGGATCTGGTTAATGAAACAGAGGCTGTGTTTAATGACTCCGTGGGGAGTTAAGGACAGTTAGGCTATTAATCAGGCCCCACTTCCTCCTGTCCACAAGAAGGTGGAGGGGAGAGTGGCCAGCCCATGCCCGGCCAGCCCGTGGGCGTGACCGTCCGGCAGAACCAGGGCCCATTCTGATGATCCACGGCTCAGAGCGCCTTTATTACCCAACTGGAAGGCAGCGTTCAATTACAGAAATCCTGAGCTAATCAAGGGCTTTATTTTCGTTTTTCTTCTTCTTTCCGATGAGGTAATTCAGGAGCTTCAAGTGAGGAATCTTTGCCATAGGAGGGGGAGGGGTGGGCAAACACCACTGCAGAAACAGCCTAGATATCAAAAGTGGTCCCGGAGAGAAGCTCTGGCCGAAATGATGGGGCCTGGGGGGCGTCTCGGAGATGCTGCGGACCAACATCGAGAGTAACATAACATAACATCACAGTAGCCAACATTGATCAAGTGGCTCCCACGTGCCAGTCTGTCTGTCATTGGGAGACTGAGTGCCATCTCCATCTACCTGGGCTCCCGCCACATCAGCGTCTGTTGTCCTGCACCAACAGGGATGCTGTGAGGTGACTCCGGAGTGGGGAAATTCTTTAAAAAAGTAAAACAGACTATACACATGCAAGAATTTTTCTAATCACCCAGATACAGCTGGTCTTAACCCATTTTAACAGTGCAAGCCCAATTAGCCAGACACATTGTAAATAATCTATTTTAAGGATAAAAAATATCCTTGTCACCAGCATAACTATTTCCCAAGCAGCCGTGGTGTTCCAGGGGAGCATTGGGGGAGTAGGAGCCTCACCACAGATTCCGACGTATTCTGCAAAGAAAGAGGAGCCCTTTATCACATCGCAACTTGGCGGTTGGGAATTTCAATTTAGTTCAACAACCATTTATTGAGCCCCTGCTGGGTGTAAGGCAGTGGGAGTGAGGCTGCTCGGGCCTGGGAAGGATTGGGACCTGGAATCAGGCAGGCCTGGTCTGGATGGTGCTTCCTGGCTGTGTGACCTTGGGCAAGTCACTTCACCTCTCTGAGCCTCAGTTTCCTCACAGGTGATAAGTGAATGGTAGTCCTTTCCTTTCAGGGTAGTCATTAGGATTAACTGAGATAATGGGTACCCATCACCCAGCAAGGAACGAGGATTAGTTATTAAGAACAAGCTGGGCTTCCCAGCCTAGCTTGGGAGACTCATTGACCCATATTCAATAAGCAGATCCCTCTGGAGGGTGCCGGTGGTGTTGCCCCCATGAGAAGCAGTGGGTCTGGCTTCAGGCTTTCAGAGCGCCTGCCCTGTGATTCTCCAGCTGGGCCTCAGAATTGGGGCTGCAGATCCCTTTCTCTGTTCCCAGCATCCTCCCTGGCCCCCTCTGCAGTGACCTCCGCTTCTCCTTCCATCGGAGTTTCAGCAGCTCCAGGGCTGGCTGGCTCTTTGAGTTCCTCTCCAGGGCTCCCCAAAGAATTTCCCCCATTCTATTGTAGCCTGCCTTTCAAGGCAGATGACCCCAAACACACCCTCCCAATTTTGGTGACAATCCATCTTCCCATTTTACCACGACAAGGTAACAGACAAACAGCAGAAAGAAACAGTACATGATACTTTGATAAAGAGTGAAGAGAGAAAGATGGAACAGAAAGGTGTAAAGATGACAATATAAAGAATCCGACTTAAACTGTGCCCTGGCCCACAGTGTACTGGGGAGACAGACAATATACATGGGGGGTCCCGAGGGGCTGTGAAGCCCAGAGAAGGCACCTGCCTGAGACTGGGGAGTCGGGGAAGACAGCATCTTACCTGAGAACAGCATACTCTCAGTAATAGTAATAACCAGTGCTTACTGAGCACCTACTAGGTACAGGGCACCGGGCCACAAACTCTATGTGCTTTTTCCACTTCCTCTGTACAATGGCCGTATTATTATCCTGTGAGTAGATCCTCTTACTACACAGGGCAACTGTTACTACACAGAATAACTATTACCTCACAGGATAACTTGGTAGTTAAAGCTCAGACTTTGAAGCCAAACTGTTTAGATTCAAATTCTGGCTCTGCCAGGAATTAGCTGTGTGACCTTGAGCAAGTTACTTAACCTCTCTGTGCCTCAGTTTCCTTTTCTGTCAAATGGAGATAATGATGATATCTACCTCGTAGGGTTGCTGTGAGGAATAAGTGGAATTAATAGCAATATTAATATGTATTAAAATATAAAAATATAGTAACATATTTATGTATAAGGCTGGGCCTGGCATGTAGTAAAGCACCAGACAAGTGTTATTGTTATCCTAAAGAGAAGGAAGGGCTAAGAATATTCCAGGCGGAAAAGTAGCATTGAGATGGGGGGAATCAGCGGAGTCTGGAGATCTAAAAGGAGTTACTTGTGCTATTATCGTGAGTAATGGCAGCCACTGCAGGCGCCATCTGACCTGCGCCCTTTGAGCCCCTCCCTCTGATTCAGCCCTCCCTCCTCTCTCCGCAGAGTGGCCAGAGTTTGTGAGGAACTATGCCCCGTGGTGGGCCACTCACACGCTGGACTGGCTCCAGTTTGGCAAGAAGGTGCTAGTGGTGCACTTTGAGGACCTGAAGCAGGACCTCTTCGTGCAGCTGGGCCGGATGGTCAGCCTGCTGGGTGTGGCCGTCAGGGAGGACCGGCTGCTCTGCGTGGAGAGCCAGAAGGACGGCAACTTCAAGCGCTCAGGGCTCCGGAAGCTGGAGTATGACCCCTACACGGTGGACATGCAGAAGACCATCTCCGCCTACATCAAGATGGTGGACGCGGCCCTCAAAGGGAGGAACCTCACGGGCGTCCCCGAGGACTACTACCCTAGATGATGCGTCAGGGGGGAGGGGGCTAGGCGTCCTGGCCAAGCAGGCCCTGGGGACTCAAGACCATCTGTCTGTCCTCTCTTTCGTTTGGGGACAATCCCTTTGGCTGCTGTTGGCCTGCAATGAGTTTCCTGCATGACAAAGGAGGCTCAGGGGAAGAGACTGTCCGGGCACTCCCCACCTAGTCACACCCCCTCTTGGAGATGGGGGGCAACTGGTTTGGGGAGTTCCAGCCACATGGACCCTTTCTTTCTCCCATGTCGCTGCCCCCATCACTCTCGGCTCCACTTGTGGGAGGGAGGGCTCATGAGTGTCCTGAACGCATGGGTGCCCCACCACAGGCATCAAGGACCTCCATGCGACAGCTAAAGGGACTGTTGTAAAAAACAGTGGCCCCAGACTCTCTTCCCTTCTGGGCTGAGCATTGAGAGCCTCCCTGTCTCTTCTCCGCCTGGAAGCATGGCATCAAGGTCCATCCAGGCCACTTCTGATTGAAGAAAGGTTGCTGGGAAGTTTCTCTGTGGCCTTAGGTTTCTGACATTCTGGGTGGAGTGGGGAGGCAATGGTGCTCACGATAGATTAATTGGTACCACCATGTGGGGCCACTGGTATCGTGAGCCCACCCCCAGGTCACACTGCTCCTGAGCAACAATCTGGCTGCCTGTCCACCTCTAGGGCTGGAATTCTGCCCTTTTCCTCCCCCATATATCCAGGTGATGACCTTGGGATCCCTGATGCCACTTCCAGGCTTCCTCAGGCACCCACAGTTATTCCACCAAGATGGCCATGTGCCACGTGCAGAATCTGAGTAAGAAGGAGAGACCCAGTAACACGTCTCTCCACTGTGGGGTCCAACACGTTGATCTTACACTGCCCTCTGACCCTTAGCAGTGGGTCCTTTGCTATCCAGGTGAGAGAGTGAGTAGTCCAAATCAGGTGGAACCACCACCAAAAGAGACCCCCACACCTTCCCAGACTATCAACCTCCCCTGATCGTAGTCCAGTGGGGCAGCTTCCATTGGGGGCCCTTTAAGGAATGGGATGAATGGGATGGCTCTTCCTTTCCACACAAACGCTGCTCCCTTGATGCTGAGACACCAAACCAAAGCATTTCCAAGGATTTCTGAGTCACTGATTATCTATCTTAGAAATCATTGACCCAGGATCCATCTCTTCCCCCACCTGGGATGCCAGTGGCTTCACATCCGGCCCACACCTGCACACCGGCACCATTCCCCACCATGTAGATGCAAAAGCCATAGGTCACAGCTCTTGGCTATTCTGTCTGGAACAGCCCCCCTAAGCAGCCCCTCTGAAGCCTTGGGGTACAGGAAATGCTCATTCCCAAATAGCCAAGAGACTATGGAGAAGGCAAGTGTAAAGAGATATATTTTTTTAAGAGGAATATGACTAATACATTCCGCCCCTTGGAACCTGGCCATGCAAAGAGAAGGGACTAGGGATCAGACCTGTTGTTCTCCTCCCTGATGCCCTCATCTGTAGGATTCGGGCCACCCCAGGGCACAGCCAGGGGGCTCTGAATGTATTTTGTACTGTGTTTCTTTCCCCCGGGCTAGTTTCTAGTCTTCTTTCGTGAAACACTAGCGGGCTGGGCCTCCTCTCCCACTTAGAGGTCAGCTCTCTCTGGGAGCCTCTTGGTCCAGGACCTGGGCCACCTCAGGCCACAAGCCTCTGTCTGAAGATTCCTCAGGTCAACACCATCATTAAAAGCGAGTTTTGTTGATAATTCTACCATGTGGTAGAGTGTTGTGTAAGGCAAGTTCACAAATGGGGTGTTTTTTTTTGGTGTGTGGGGAGGCGGGGAGGAAGGGATTATAGAGTGTTGTGTAAGTGTCCCCGCTTGTGTCTGTGCATGGGCATGGAAGAGGTTATCTATGGGAGGTGTCCCTTTTGTGTATATGTGTGAGCGTGTGTGTGTGAGAGAGAGAGAGTCCCTGAGTGTGGTGTTGTGCACGTGCGTATACAGGAGGAAGCTGGTGGGAGTGCCAGGGCACAGAGAAGGCCCCCTGTCCCTGGTGGGGAGGGGGAGGAGTGTCAGTTTCTGAACCTCCACATACTCCTGAAGGGGGGCCTTGTGTCCCTTCTCCTCACACGACAGAGGGGCTTCTGAGGGGTGCGGTGTCCCAGCCAGTGGTAGGTATGAGGCTTTGTGGATGGTAAGGAGGAGAGGGGTGATAAACAGAGCTGGGTCAGGCAGAGGAAGGGAGAGAGGGGCTTCTCCCCAGCGAGGGGGACGGCTCAGGAGGACTGGGGGGTGGGGGTGGTCTTTCCCCCCATCCTGGATCCTCTGCAGTATGGAAGGGGAAGGAAAGCTCAGAAAGGGGAGTGTGAGGCTGTTCCAGGACCAAGGACAGGGTCTTTCTCCTCTAAATGTTCCTGTTGGCTCCAGAAATTCTTCCGTGATGACTCACTGGGCCCCAGGCTAAACTCTGACCCCAATCTCAAGCCAAGCCTGACTTGGTCACAGACTGAGCCCCAGTCCTAGGATCTTGATCCTGGATCACAGCTAAGCCCTAATCCTGATCACAGACTGAGCCCTGATCCTGGATGTATACTGATCCATGATCCTGGTCTCACTCCCACATTGAACCCGGACCCGGGCCACAGTCCCAAATCTGGGTCTACACATGCTGAGTCTTGACCCCGGTCATTGACTGCATTCCAGTCTGGGTCACAGGCTGACCCCTGACCTGTCCCAGAACAAAGGCGGATAGTGTGTCTGGACTGAGCTAGAATCTTGGTCACAGACTGAGCCCTAGTCCCATCTCTGAATGAGTCCTGATCTCAGTCACTCTGAGCCCTGACTTTGGCCTCAGTCTAAGCCAGCCCCTGACCTCAGATCAAGCCTTGACTCTGGTCCCAGGCTGAGCTCTGAACCAATATGCCAATCTCCTTTCACTTCTCTAAATATTATCCCTTTAAGCAAATCCTCCCTGACCAGAAGTGAGGGAAGCCATGGAGCATCCAGCTCCAAGCTCTCCTGGGCTCTCCTCCTCGGATCTCACAGGTTCTGTGCCATATCCTCCTCCCTACCACGCATCACCACGGGGCAGGAGTGAGGGGACCTCACAGCCCTTTAGGCCAGAATTGGGGCTGAGATGGACAGTTTAGCAACCTCTTCTTTGGCCAACCTCTGCCCTTTTATCACACTTCAGCAACCATGTTGAATCAACTTTATATTTCAGACCCAGAAGGAACAAAGGTAGCTTTCATTCATTCATTTCTTCAACAAATCTTTACTGAGCACCTACTGTGTGCCAGGCACCGCTCTATGTTCTAGAGATTTAAAAAGGAACAAAACAGACAACAATCCCCAACCCTACAGAGTTTACATTTGACCAAGTATGGAGCAGTGCCTGTAAGTGATCAGAAGTCTTTTGGGGAGATGATGGTGGGGCAAAGAAGGAAAAGGACTTGGGGGGCTCCTGACTACCCCATTTTACTGGTGCTCAGAGACTTGTGGTAAGTGGCCCAAGCCACACAGAGATGGACAGCAGAGCCAGGGCCAGCTGGTGCCCTCTCCACAAAGTCCTGTCCACACACAGAGTGACAGTGCCCTTGCACCTGGGGAGGAAGGAAAGCTTTGGATTCCAGTGGTCACACAGTGCAGGGGACACTCCTGGCCTGGAGGCCAGGACACCTGGGCTCTCATGCTGCTGTCACCTCCAGTGCAGTATGGTTCCAGGACTCGAGGAGAATAGGCAGGGCCCAGTGTCTGCTGATGACTGGGATTTCCTCCTGGTTCCTCCAGTAACCCCAGAGGCTGCTGCAAACGTATTCCCTGCAGACAACGTGGGAGGGGGAGGCAAAGGGGATGCTGGGGGCAGGTCCTTGGGGACCCATCTCCTCCCAGAGGCCCAGCCCTCTTCCCTTCCCCTTTCTCTCTTGCATTGGTTTGTTTTCTCCCATGCCTCCCGTTTTCTCACTGTTTTTCTTTACACTGCCTCCTGCTCTCAATTTCCCTCTTTGTCGTCTCTTTTATTTCCTCCAGCTGCTCATTAAACCTCTTTGCTTTCTTGCCTTTCTTCTCTCTCCCTGTCTCTCTCTCTCCCTCTCTTTTTCTCTCCCTCTCTTTCTCTCTCCCTCATTTCATTGTTACCTCTCTTGATTTCCGCTTCTGTTTGAGCAAGCATCTCTCCATCTCTGTCTCTTGGTCTCTGAGCTCTCTGTCTCTCTGCCTGTCTCTTGCTCCTTCCCTCCCTTCCTTCCCACTCCTGTCGTCCTCTCCTGCCTCCTCCTCCTCGTCTTCCTGGAGAGCGGGGGCGACTCAGCAGGATCCAGACACAGTGAGACAAATGCTACCCAGGCCAGTAACCAAGGAAGTGGTTTCCTTAGCAACAGAATCTGCAGGCACACGCTCCGCTGCCCATCCCTTAGCTATTACAGTAAGTGCCAAGAGGGGGAAGGGGGGCGGCAAGCCGGGAGACAGGGAAGTCGGTAAAGACACTGCTACAGCGATCGTCTTGAGAGAGGACAGTGGTCACAGACCAGCTCAGTGGCTGGCACTTTGGGGACACTCAAAAATAAGAGAGGTGGGGGGCTGTGGGGTCAGTGGCAGGCATATAACACGGAGAGAGCTGAGGGAAGAATCCATGGGACTTGGTGACAGACTGGATGTGGGGAGGGGGAGCTAGCAAACAAGGCAAAGGGACCACCAAGTTTCTGCCTGCACACAGCTCCCAGGAAGTGAAGATCATGGGACAGAGGAGCAGGGGAGGGAGGGAGACTAGATAAGCTAACATAGCTCCCTGTCCCCAAGAGTTCACCGTCTTGTTGGGGTGACATTGAGGGAGGGAGGGTAGAGGCAGACGCAGAAATATCTCATTCAATTCTCCCTACAAATTGGCGACAAGAACACAGGAGACTAAGCACGGCCTTGAGGGTGGTGAGAGGCTCAGAGAAGGTGAGTAATTGCTCGGCTGACACAAAAGTTGGTGACTACACTTGGATTTGAACCTAGGAATGATCCAGAGCCTGTCCCGAAGATGGAAAACAGAAGAGGGTAGACTACGGAGAGACAAACAGAGAGGGAGAGAAAGAGACAGAGAGAGAGAAAAACGGGAAGAGAGAGTTAAATCATTGATTTGGCACTTTTTCCCACCAGGAAAACAAAAATACGTTCAATTTTAGAGAAATGGGAAGTGGGGAGGGAGGAGACAAAAGCGCCCCACAGTATGATAGCTTTTGCAGCTATGAATAACTGTCCCCAGAGAAAACACCTGTCAAGATGCATTCACTCCCGAGGAGACGAATTGTGTCCCCAGCCCAGGTTGATATTTCAACGACTCAGAAGGGGCGACGGGGTGAAGGGCAGAAAGTTACTCAATGTCGTAAAGAAACCTCGCTCGGCTTTTCCCAAAATGCGATAAAACGTGCAGGTGAGGAGAGCTGTAAATCTAGATGATAATAATATCCATCCTCGCAAAAGCAACATGTTTATTTATCATGTTTGCACGTTGACTATTTCCCCTCAA